GGCTCTCTAACTTTGTTGACACATTTCATCAGTTCCCAATTGCGTAGATTGATGCTCATGCTATTGATCACTGGATTGTTTTGTCCAAACTCAATTGTTTACAGACCGCTGGAATATTGCTGAGTGTGGCGTAAATCTAAACTCACTCACACACCCCATAGGTAACTAACTTCTACTAAGGGAATGGCCTTTAGATTTTCTTGTGGCATCTCATTAGTTTAACCTTTCTGGATCTCGATATCTGGGTTAGTTTGTCCCTTACCTCAAAACACTTTCTACTAATAGGCTGAAGTGAATGGATCACATCTACATCGGTAGCCCAGTTGTACCCACCATCAGATACTAACAGCATGAGATTAGTATGAAAATTGTAGAACCTAGTTCACACTTCATTTGTAGCTGTGATCTAATTTAGTTTTGGTGCACCATAGTGTGCGTATTTTGTAGAAGCACCTGCAAGTGTTTTATTTTCACCTTGTGTGGATGTGGTTGAGGAAAGGCAACCAAGAAGTCATTTTAACTGCAGAAATTTGCAAGAAGCATGGCACACTGGCCAACAATGTTCACTCTAAGCAGCCAGAGCACCAGACTATTATCATTTCCACTATGGCTGAGTCTTAAAGAGTGCCGAAGGCAGTATTATGGAACACGTTTGACACCGTAGGAGAAAGTAACAGATGGAAAGCTGATAGGTGTGCTTCAGTCTGGTACCTTTGATTCAATATCAGTCTTTGATTCAATATCCATGGAAACACCATTTGGCATTACGATGATATTTTCAGCGAAGTGTCTGCCCGCCAGTAACAACCCAAAGTCAAGAACAATGTATTAGAACTCTCACCCAGACAGCAGCCCATACCGTACCGAACATTATCTGTCAGAATAGTTTGATCATGGAAATGTGAATTCCCAATGCTGTTTAAATCGTTTCCATTCCATGTATAAGTCTTGTGCTTTCCAGTTCACTGAAGGCTGCATTTTCATCAATTGATCATAGACTACTTTAAACTCCAACCTACAGAAGCTGAGCTCTTGGGGAATACTTTGGCTGGTTAAATATAATCCAAATAAAACAGAATCTATCATTTTTACCCTTAGAAAACAAAGTGATAACATAACTGTATACTTTGATGGATGTGAAATTAGTAATGTAAATGGACATAAACACTTAGGTCTAACAATTTCGGCAGATGGGAAATGGAATAAGCATATTGACCAAATAGTAATATCAAGCTCTAAGAGGATAAACTCCATGCGTAGATTAAAATTCTTACTAAGTAGGCCACTTTTAAATAAGATTTATATTATGTTCATCAGACCATATTTTGAATATGCCTGCGAGGTTTGGGATGGGTGAAATTCTGAACAGCCATTGTGACATAACTACAACTGGAAGCAGCCCGTATTGTTACTGGTTTACCAAATTATACACCACTTAAATATCTCTAGTTTGAAACTGGGTGGGAAAAATTATAAGTATGTAGGGAAAGAAGAAAGTTAACATTATATTATAAAATGAAATGTGGTAATGCACCTTCTTATCTGATAGATTTACTTCCTCAGACTGTTCGGGACTCTACAACTTATGACCTTAGAAACTCTGAAAATATTGTAAGACCGTCATATAGACTTAAACACTCATGTCAATCTTTTATCCCACCAACGACAGTATTATAGAATAACATCCCATTAGAAAAGCGAATGTTACCATCAACAGAGACGTTTAAATCATATTTGAAGAAACCTATTGTCATGGCACCATTATGTTTTTCTACAGGTACCCGCAAGCAAAATATTATTCATACTCGTTAAAGATATCATGTAAGTGAATTGAATTAAGATATATTTAATGTTGGCATTAGGTCAGATTCAAAATGTGAATGTGGGAATTTACATGAAAACATTTATCACTTCATGTTTGAGTGTTCCCTATATAACGAACACAGAACGAAAATGTTTAACCTTTTAAAATTAAAAAGACAATGTTGATTTGAATTTAAATCAAATCCACTTATATTAAAGTTGATGTAAGTAAATAGGTATTCCACAGTTCACTGTTGCTTGAGGAGTGACTGTCTCTCACAGGCTGGTGAAGACAGGTGGTTCCTCACGGATGTTGAACAGGTTGTTCATGTTGTTGTTTGCCTGTGAGGTTACATTCAACGGCGGGTATGATTGAAACATGCTCTATTTTTATATTTGATGAAGGTCTAATTCAGTGACAGAATTTATTGGATATGTTTGCGTTTTTCAACAGCAAGTTCGGTTCTAATTGGCTGCTGATTGTTGTGTATTCTTATTTTCTTCACATTTTCTGTACTCGTGACACTACACAGCCTGGTGACACTACACAGCCTGGTGACACTACACAGCCTGGTGACACTACACAGCCTGGTGACATTACACAGACTGGTGACACTACACAGCCTGGTGACATTACACAGCCTGGTGACATTACACAGCCTGGTGACACTACACAGCCTGGTGACACTACACAGCCTGGTGACACTACACAGACTGGTGACACTACATTACACAGACTGGTGACACTACACAGCCTGGTGACATTACACAGACTGGTGACACTACACAGCCTGGTGACATTACACAGCCTGGTGACACTACACAGACTGGTGACACTACACAGCCTGGTGACATTACACAGACTGGTGACACTACACAGCCTGGTGACATTACACAGCCTGGTGACACTACACAGACTGGTGACACTACACAGCCTGGGTACACAGACTGGTGACTACACAGCCTGGTGACACTACACAGCCTGGTGACACTACACAGCCTGGTGACACTACACAGACTGGTGACACTACACAGACTGGTGACACTACACAGCCTGGTGACATTACACAGCCTGGTGACACTACACAGATGACACTACACAGCCTGGGACACTACATTACACAGACTGGTGACACTACACAGCCTGGTGACATTACACAGACTGGTGACACTACACAGCCTGGTGACACTACACAGCCTGGTGACATTACACAGCCTGGTGACATTACACAGACTGGCGACACTACACAGACTGGCGACACTACACAGCCTGGCGACACTACACAGCCTGGCGACACGGCGACACTACACAGCCTGGCGACACTACACAGACTGGCGACACTTCAGAGACTGGGGACACTACGCAGACTGGCTACACTACACAGACTAGAAATATGCCTTACGATAATTTTTTTTTTTCCAGATCATTACATTAGAGATGTAACATTCTCAGATTGGACTTTGGATATATGCAAGAAGACAAGATCTCAGAGTATACTGTGCAGCCTGACGCTGATGCTGATGTGTAATATTTGGTCATTTAAATGTTCGACACATATTGAAGTGGCATAGATGAATCAACTTGTCTGACTGTACACTTGTATTCAGTGTTGGCAATTCATGCACCAGAAGGGGCGGTGTGGTAGCCTAGTGGTTACTTGTCACGTTGAAGACCCGGGTTCGATTCCCCATATGGGTACTATGTGTGAAGCCTATTTCTGGTGCCCGGTCTGTGATATTGCTAGAGTATTGCTAAAAGCGGCGTTAAACCAAACTCACTCACTCATACACCCCAAGATCAGCATTTGAAAATAAAAACAGTCTGATAATACTTAACAGTTGGCTTAGTGTACGGGTAGGACGGACAGACAGACAAGGTGTTTTGATTGTAATTGTGAAGTAAGTCTCAATGTTTGTAGCGATTTCCTTGACAAGTGGCTTTTGAAATGACTTTCAACAGTCCAGATGGAGGTTTTCTGATTGCAAGTGAGTGACTTTATCAAAAATTACAAAAACACAATCTTGATTTATTTTGGATGGTTTTGATAATAAATATGTTTGTTCCTCCATCACCAGCCTGAACATGGATAGGGTTTACAGAGTCGTGAAGTACAGTTAGAATAATTCACAATCTATGACTATCGTTTTTCACAAGTGTTTTAACACTTCATACGAAATTGTGAAAACGTCGCACAAAATTATATTCACAGTATCTGTTGCTTAGGTTACCAGGTATTGCTGGACTTCTGGCGTTCATTGTGGAATTTGTATTGTTTTGGGATATATATGTGGTGTTGCCCTGTATGGCTGGTCATAGGTCAGCCTTGTAGTTAAAGCAAATGGTTTCAATGGGTGTTAAAGCAGTCAGTCATGACAGCTGAGGCATGCTTTGATTCCCTAAATGAGAAGGTGCTTCTGAATGTCAGTGGTATGTACAAGTGTGTTCAAACAGAGCAGCCAGCATAACTACATCAGTGAATCTTTCTGTTGCAGATGTGACAAGGATGCAGTCACAGTTGAATGTACACATGAGCCTCTGACATCTTGGTGACCGCCAGTCAGTATTGAGTAAATTACTCAATACTGGCTTTATGGATCTGGGTAATGTGATGCCTACGTTGGGAAGTTGGACTATATATACCTCTGCAACAATTATTGGTCCGCTTTTGAGCCAAATGTACCTACAACAGAGTTGGTCTGACAAGTTTTATTTGTGATATTTACATTGCAATCCTTGTCTTAAAAATAAATCACAGTTGGTCAGATGTTTTTAAGTCACATTGGAGGTCTTGGACCTGTCAATTTGTATGATTTTTCCTCTAAATCATACAGAGTAGCACTGAGCAAACCTCCGCGGGTTTGTTGCTCACTATTTCCTCCATCCAGATGTGGAGGCATGGGCAATATTGAGCTGATTTTCTGGAATAAAAGAATCAAATCGTACTTTGCATACTATATTTTATTCAAATGTTAGGTCCAGTTGTATTACGTCAACAAATGATCTTTCTGCAAAAGTACACCCAGAGTCATGTCTTCATGGGTAATCCACATCTATTGATTCGAAGTCGGTTTTGTATCATCAGTTTTTTTACTCAAGGACCCTGTAAAAAAACATATCCAAATAAATGAAGGCGCCACTCGTGCATGCACAAGACTGAGGTTAGTTCTACACCGCACTAGGCAATATTCACGTTTTATAGAGTCTGGACCAGAAAACGCATCGATCTACGCAATTGGGATACGATGACATTTGTCAACCAAGTCAGCGACAATGACCACCTGTTCCCGTTGGTCGCTGCTTATGACAAGCATGTGTTGCTGAAGATAAATATGTTAACTCGGAACTTCACGGGTAATCCACATCTCTCACACACTGAACTCATCATACTACGTAGGGATTCAAGGACAACCTTGTGGCAAAAAATTATCTCACTGGGTACAAGATACTATCCACAAAGAGCTGGCACGGACTTCAGTCACTTTAAGTGTAGCTTGAGTGGTTTGTTGAGGATGACATCACCTGTAGAAAGTACACAAATTCCCAAATAAATTACAGTTACGACACAACAAATATCACTCTTACATGGAGGTACTGATTGACATGATCTTTTGATAAAATGGCACACAAGAATGGTCGAACTCTGCTTTGAACAAGATTTCAGCTACGTTTGGGTGTGCCAGCTTCAGGCGTGAGGGAAACCTGTGGTGATGCAGGTATCGGATGTTTACCACTTCGACAAAACCCAGAATCGAACCCATGATTCCCGTCACAGCAAACAGACTTGGTCACTCATGCCTCCAGACACCCGGAGAGTTAGAAAATCACGTCATCATTATCACAAGCATATGGTGAAAGGTTATGCATAAGAAATACTTTAATGTCTTTCGATAGGCTCTATATGTCAAATAAGTCTTATCACAGATATAATTATTTTGCACAAGGGTGTGACCATAAAACAAGGCCATAACCAGACATACAAGGTACCAGAACTTTAATTCTTTATGGCAGTAGAATATTTTGGATAGTCGTTGCATGTTCCTTGATAAACCATGGAGCTGTAATCAGATTACGTTTAGAGTAAGTTTAGTTTTACGCCGCACTCAGCAATATTCCAGCTATTTGGCGGCGGTCTGTAAATAATCGAGTGATCAACAGCAGGTCCTTCTGGGTGACTTAAATTGCCGCAAATGCCATATTAATACAGAAAGTGGAAAGGATCGAAGACCAGTTCTTACAAGTTATAAAACCTCTCCAAGGATATTTACAATATTAAATTTCAGCGCAAGCAATCAGAAACAGACAGGAAAATATGATACAAAAGGTACAGAGAAAGGAAACTACTGGTATTGTTTTGATTTGCTTATATGCAGAAATACATTTTTAAATAGAATTTCATGGTTATGATTTGTCAGGTCTGCAATGCCGTTTAAAAGAACAATGTAATCACAATCACAGATATGGCTTATGCTGATTGTATAATTATCACATGCGCAGGATGGATCTGTGATAGCACTACTCTGTACAGTTCGTAACTTAATCTGCTGGCATATGACGGATGTAGTATGTTTAGTGAAGTACATTTCATTTTAATACTAAAGGGATAAATTGCTTGCGCACCCTTGTTATGAGTAATGATTGTTTAGACAGCCTTGAACAATCTTGAAATTGCACGAGGCAAACTGGCCACAATCGCAATGCCGCGTATGCATCTTTTTTTTCGTAAGAAGAGTTACTGAAAGCTGATTGTTAAATGATGTCACTAAATTGGCAACGTATACGTATAAAACCCACACAAAGGATGCGTGAATGAATTATTCGACTTAATATACCATGTTAGTATGACGTCGACCATGCCCTCCGTGGTTTTGCAAACAGCTGTCAACAGTGGGTCGAAATGGGTCCCTATCTTAGGTACCTGTTGAGATCGTCCAGGTTGAGGAACAACTAGGGCAACAATGCCATGCAGAGGGGACTTTTCCTGTGTCCAGAATTAAGGTAGTCTTAAAATTAATGTTTGGAGTCCATAGTGTATATCATCAGCTCCCGTTACAGTAGCGTGAGCTTATCCAAGAGCAGTTTTGGAAAGTCAGTGCAGAAAAAGTCTCAATGAAACCTCTTGGAGATAAGTTTAATGAATAACAGGACTGCCAAGATCATTCGACTCACAAAGAAGATTGACCAGAGGCTCAATCTGAAAGGGGAGGTATGCCAAAATTATACATGCTTCAGATTGTTCTGATTTCAGTTAAGAATGCTGATGGTTTAAAATCCTTGTCTCATAGCTGTACTTCACTAAAATTAGTCTCAATCCTCTGATTTAAAAGTACAATGCAAAGAAACTTGTCTCAACGCCAAAATTGGGAATTTACCTGGCACTTTGAAGTCTGTGTCCTGTGGTGGTAGTTGACAGACATCCATGTTCACAAGGATGGAGACTTGTTCAATATATGTACCTGGTTGTTGGATCCCTTTGCTGCTGCTGCTGCTCCTTTGTTGATTCTGATATCGGGTTTGAGAATTAGAAACTTAAATCAAAATGCACTTTAACATAGTAACCGACTATGATTCACAGATGTAGGTTTATCTGAACGTACAATTCCTTACAGTCACTCACGAGGCTCTGATACCTGTACAACTTCCTTACTTGTTTTCGAGTCCTCATTAAAAAAAGTCCCTCATCTAACCAATCTGGCAGGAAGCATACCCTCCTGTTCATACCTTCCGACAATACAACAGTTCACACCCGGACTGTCGAATTTTTTATCGAATACACACCCGGGACTGTTGAAAAGCACTGGAGCGTGGCAATGCTCAACACTGCTCTGATAACACCCGGAGCGTCGACTGCCTTGGAGGTGAGGTGAAATTGGGTTTAACGTCGTGCTTGAGAATATTTCGCTCATATGACGACGTGCATGCGTGTGTATGTGTATGTGCGGCTGCTTGTACTAGCCCAGACTGAAGCTGGTTTTATAGTGCTAGCCCACTGAGATACCATGCCGCAGTGAAGCATGAATACCCTCTCAGACACATTACACTGACTCCAAGCCGACCAGTCCTTGTTGTACCCATTAATGCCGAGCGCCAGGCAGGGACCAACAAGTACCATATTTTAACGTCTTTTGGTATGACGCGGTCGGGGATCGAACCCGCGACCTTCCGCTCTCCGGGCGGACGCTCTAACCACTACACCACGGAGGCGGTCGTCGACTACCTTGGAGAACATGAACCTGCGAATAGCAGAAAGACTGCGCTAATCCGCTCTACTCTAATTAACGAGGGAGAACTTAAGACATGAGTGCTATTGTTGTTGAAATGTGACATATCTGATACAAACCTAGTTAACTTTTCTCATTTCCTTCTCACGGATACATGTGTAACTATATACGCTAGGTAAGTAACATAAACGATGTCAATATGGCAAATGCGCAGGTTCAGGTTACCTTCACAGAACGAGCTTGACAGAAGGCTTCAGATTCTCAAGGATCAGCTTCAGAGACAAGAGATTACCATAATGAACGATGCGGAAAGACTTCCGCCCGTATCCCCCCCTTGAATTATATTCTAGTAAAATCATATCACCTGAATACATGTGTATATATATTCCTCATCAGATAAGGATGAGTTTTAACATGTTTCTTTAATTGTATCTGAACATACTGAAAGATATCAAACTTAATAAAATGTCACTCAAAGAAATTATTCCTCATCGCTAAAGTTTAGGGGGGGATACGGGCGGAAGTCTTACCCAGATATTTTATGACATATTTAAACAGTGACAAAATAGCTCTTTCAGCCAAAGTCATTTTTCATGTTATATACCAGCTGATTTACTTTTTACCAAAATAAAAAACAACTACTTTCAATGCGTTTTCTTGGGGGTGGGGTTAACTGAAGTCAGTATACAATTTATATGCATATAGAAAATCTGTAAACTAGTGAAGCCAATTGCTGCAAGTAGTGTTGTTAATACACATTGAATGCTAGGTACTGATTACTTTATATACATATACTGTAAGCAATTAAAAACGCAATTGGTATTTGTTGTCCTGAAACTCACAAAAGTTCTATTGAAGCTTTTTGCCTGCGATACAGAGGATGTAGGGATAAAAGGCTGTTATTCTGGCCCATTTCGAGTTCGAGTCCCAGTCCCGGATCTTTCCTCTCACATGAACTTTGATACTTATAACTGAACCTTTGACATTTCTCGTAAACACAACCACATTCATGAAACACGTTGTGCACATGCATTACCTGCACTCAGGCCCTGTAAAAGCACAAGGAATTGTGGAACTCAATCACTTTGAGAAAATGCCACACTTGACGCAAGACGAAAGGAATCAGGTTATCGGTATGGTCAGCCAGGGTGCTTCAGATGTGATGATTGCCAGGCACTTTAATGTGCATCCATCCACTGTAAGTCGACTCAGACAACGTTTTCGGGCTACCGGAAGTGTTGCTGATCGTCCGCGACCTGGTGCACCACCTGTGATAACAGCTCGACAAAACCGCAATATCCGAGTTTTACAATTGCGAAATCGGTTCCAAACAGCTGATGATGAGGCAAGGAGGACAATTGGGACAAGTCAACGTCATTTCAGCGCCCAAAAGGTGCAAGGACGCCTTGCTGCCTTCAACATCCGGTGTCGTCACCCGTACCGTGGTCCAACCTTATTGCATCGCCACAGACTTGCCAGACAGCGATGGGCAGCAAATGGGGCCAATCTTGGCAACAGGACATGGCCAGATGTCATTTTGTCAGATGAATCCAGGTTTAACTTATCCTTTGCAGATGGACGTCAACAGATTTATCGACGTAAAGGAGAAAGACTTGCGCCAAACTGTGTCCTTGAACATGATCGTTTTGAAGGGGGTGGTGTCATGATCAGACCACAGACCATCAGAGGCCGCAGACCATCCAACAGCTGTTCCTGAGAAATGTGTGTCTTTCAATGCCCCAAAGACTGCGAGCATGTCTTGCAGCGCACGGTGGACACACACGATATTGACTGCAAGTGACCCCTCCTTTGTTTGATGTCGTTGTTGCGTCAATGATGTTGACTGGACATTTTAAGATGAAAATATTCACAGATGTTCACTTAAAACATATCTGCCAGTTAGGTTTATATATGTTGAAATTGGTGTGAGTAAAGAAAGTATGAATGTCAAATTGCGTTTTAATGGCTTACAGTATATATAAACACATGACAATTATGTGGATCAATAAGAAAATAAAGTATTCTGGGGAGTAATATTTCTGTCAATACGTTACGTACAGTCTTAAATGAAATCTATGCCCCTCGCCTTCCGTGCAGCAAATTGCTCAATGACAAGGGCTGTGTTTACTGACATATCTCTGTGGACAAGAATAAGTGCAAGTGATGTCATACGGACATCACCCATGGTGGACCGAAGGTACGTCTTCATCCTCCTCATTGCACTGAAGGATCTTGATGCTGATGTCACGGCCATAGTGATGAATTGCCGAAGTAAACTAAGTGTAGGCACGTGCCTAATGGCAGGTACGCTACTGTCAGTAGGGGACCTAGTAACAAATAATGGGTCAAATAAGATTGCTTTTTTCCACGGGTCATAACTCAAATCTGAATAAAAATTGAATAAAAAATTCAACTATATTAGAGCTACAGAGCTTACAGATTCTATCTTGTAGCGGCGTCTTTGGGCAACAACATCTACCAATTCTAAGGGAAAAGTACCACAGCGAAGGTTACTCAAAATACTTCGTTGTGATCTCATAACCATAAACCATAAAACCTAACCCCTCGAAATAATCCTAATGAATAGAATACATTTCAAGCGGGGGTTACGGGCGGAACTCTCACCCTATTCGTTATCGTACGAACATGTGGTTTTACACACAATACAATATGGAGCAGGTTGCCTAACATTCACTTCTGCACAGAATCGCCATTAAACCTTGCATGCCAAACTCGTAACTACTCGTGTCATTCCGGCAAGCCGGATAGCGTCTTCTTGTAGGTCACGGAAAGAGGCGAGTAGTTACGAATGGCTGGTTCTTGAATATACGCTTGTCATCGGAAATCTGGTACCGGAAGTAAGCTGGGCCCCGTCTCCCATAACACATGTTGGCGCGTGCAAAGGGATCCGGGAACGGTAAGAGTTCCTCCCGTTTCCCCATCCCTAATAATATTTATAAATATCCTAAAATTATTAACAAAACTTAACAATTACTAGAGAACTCACAAAATGACTAAAAGTCCAAACTTTAAGTTACGTTTAGGGTTAGGTTTAGAGTTAGGTTTAGGGTTGGGGGAACGGAAGGTACTCTTTCCCGAGTTTGTAAATGAGTGTTAAGTTGGAATTTACGCCGCTTTCAGCAATATTCCAGCAATATCACGGCGGGGGACAGCAGAAATGGGCGTCACACATTGTCCCCATGTGGGGAATCGAACCCGTGTCTTCTGCGTTACGACCGAACGCTTTAACCACTCGGCTACCCTACCGCTCCAGGTTGTAAATGAAGGATAAGCCTCCTTTACTCTTACAAGTCAAACGATGTGCACATTCATTAATGGAATCGGAATTTGTTTCAGCAGAGTATGGACACCAGAACCTGCGTTGTGTTTACTTTGATCAGTTCTAAGTATTTTAACAGATGCGTCATGAAAGCTAAGAGTTTTTAATCAAATTTTCACAGACAGAAAATGCTCGGTGCCTGGAAAGTGAAGTGCATGTCCAAGAACTTTTAGTTTTATACTAAAACCAAATCCCCAGGATTCGTGTTATATGCAGAAAACTTGGCCATTAACAGGTATTCAACATAACAAAACACGCAGAAATTGAAATACAAAGTACATTTTCACTCACTCGTTGGATTTTCACTGGTACGTTCAAGGTTTCGTCGCCCGTGCCTCCAAATGTTAGTGTTAACAACGAAGATTGTTCTGCGTGACCTCAGAGAACGAGGCTGATCTGCACATGCTGCACGGAAAGCCCCGATCACCATACTCGGCCCTGGTTGGCCTGCTGTGACACGTGATGTGGTCCAAGGATGTGCCTAAATTCAAAGGGACCATATCATGATTTTACACCTCACAATAGATCGACACACAAAGGTTGGTGCAACCCCTGAACTCAAATCTTGACCCACCAGATACATTTACCACCGAAGGTAATTGTGGGTCATGTTCGATGAAACCACTGAATCTGTGAATCTGCAGAATGTTTCTGCGAGGTGAGATGCAGGCTTGGCAGCATTCTGCGGGTACTACTGTCTCCCGCGCTTAATTTGGACACACTTTTTTACTAGGTTTATAAATGTAGGGGTTTTGTTAAAATAGAACTGGCCAGCTAACAACAATGAGAATGTATAAAATACATATACCAAAAATACGTTTCACAGATAGTTGCAAACAATACTTGAATTGCATGAATTCCCCACAGTTACCCACAAATCACTATGTGAGTGAATTTATTTTTACGCCGCTTTTATCAATATCCCATCAACATCACCACCGGGACACTACAAATGTACATATTGTACCCAAATGGGGAATCGAACCCGGACTTCGGCTTGACAACCGAAATCTGTAACCATTAGGCTACCCCATTGCCCCTAAACCACTGTGTCTCCGCAGAGTTCGCTCACAATTAGAAATACGCGTTGGCTAGTCAGCCCGAAGACCTGGTTCGATTCCCCACGTGGGTTCAATTTGTGAAGCACATTTCTGGTGTCCCCCGCCGTGATTTTGCTGAAATATTGCTAAACGCGGCGTAAAACCATACTCACCCATTCATACAGGTGCAACCCCGTGGAATTAGCGCGACAGATTATTCATGGTTTCCCTTTCATTGTTGTAATATTTCCAAAGTCTTTTTGTGAAATCAGGGGCTTTTGAACTACTAACAGCACCATTGTAATAGAGAGGTAGGTGTTTATTTCAGTAAAGGGGCCACAGGCCCATATACATGTTGTACCATGCGCACAGTTTATCAAGCGCCAATATAACAATTAACATGGATGCTACGGAGCAGGATACACATCAGGATATAGAGATATCACAGTCGCAAAAACGTATTACGTTTTTTAAGAGCTAGATGTAAATATATTCCCAGATCATTAATGACAATTATATTCCTTGACATGAACAGTTGAGACAGCTTCTCATGTGATGGCAGATTATTTATTTAGTTTCTCGAATACCATTGTAAAATGGACACTCAAGGCAGAAATGATGTAATGGGTGAAACACATACAAACCTTTACTGTCACAGACAGTCATAAAACACATTGAGATTAATTAATTTCCAGTGAAACTACCAATAACCTATTTACATTTGTTTGTTTTGTTTGTTGTTTAACGCTGCACTCAGCAATATTCCAGCTATATTGCGTCGGTCTGACAATAATCAAGTCTGGACCAGACAGTCCAGTGATCAACAACATGAGCATCGATCTACTCAATTGGGATACGACGACGTGTAAACCAAGTCAACGAGCCTGACCACCCGATCCCGTAAGTCGCCCCATACGACAAGCACGGGTTGCTGAAGACCAATTCTAACCCGGATCTTCACGGATCCATAAACTATTTGCAGATCTGGACAGAGCTGTACGGCAGTAAGGGCGGTAACTCGTACTCCCTAGAAACCAAAGCTACCGCTGGACTTCATACATCTCCTCCGTCAAAACACATTCCTGTTTTTGTTTGTGTATCAGAGTTTCAGTGTTGGATTTCTTGCAAACGTTATCGTGATTAATAAGCTGGTCGCATGCTGTTGGTATCGCCAAACACCTTTGAGGCTGGTTTGTAACTCTCATTCAGGTAGGTCCGTTAGATTGAGATTCGTAGGAAGATTACCTCATTAAAATCAAAAGCGGGTAATTCGAGATCGAAAGAACCAAAGGAAAGGATTGCCGAAATGCAATACTGTTGAGACACATGAATGTAAGTTCTGTAAGTTCTGTCCAGTCTGGAATCGGAGGGCTATGTCACAAGCAAGGGTGTATGAGTGAGTTAAGTTTTACGCCGCGTTTAGCAATATTCCATCAATATCACGGCGGGGAACACCAGGGATGGCCTTCACACATTGTGATGAATCGAACCCGGGTCTTCGGCGTGACGAGCGGACGCTTTACCCACTAGGCTACCCCTACCGTCCCCTTGCTGAAGAGTAGGGAAGCGGGATGGGAGAGTTCTAAAGATTGCTTCCTGTTCTTCGCGGTAGTACATATAAAGGACTGAGATCCTGTCCCAATATCCCAGCAACATCACGGCGTGGGACACCAGACATTGGCTTCACCCAATGTCCCCGTGTTGGGAATCGAACTCGGTTCTTCAGCGTGACGAGTGGACGCTTTAACCATTAAGCTACCCCACCGACCCGGCTATAAAATTATTACAGTGAGGGCTCGGCTGATAGGAGAATAACATGGTCCACAGTCTGAGAGACAAGTAATTAACCAGCAGTCCTCCCGAGCAGTTTGAAGAATATATTAGTTATCCATATATTTTAATGTATTCGTTTACATTCCCTAGTTTACATTCCTAGTTTACATTTACATTCTCTAGTTTGCGCTTAATTCCCTTGTTTACATTTACGTTCCCTAATTTACATTTACATTCCCTAGTTTGCGCTTACATTCCCTTGTTTACATTTATATTCCCAAGTTTACATTTACATTCCCTACTTTACGTTTACATTCCCTAGTTTACGTTTACATTTCCTAGTTTGCGCTTACATTCCCTAGTTTACGTTAACATTCGCTAGTTTACATTTACATTCCCTAGTTTACATTTACATTCCCTACTTTACGTTTTTATTCCCTAGTTTACGTTTACATTCCCTAGTTTACATTTACATTCCCTAGTTTACGTTTACATTCGCTAGTTTACATTTACATTGCCTAGTTTACATTAACTGGGACCAGTAAAGGTCCGGGTTGGAATGAACCTTCAGTAACCCATGCTTGTCGTAAGAGGCGACTAACGGGATCGGGTGGTCAGGCTCGCTAGCTTGGTTGACACATTTCATCGGTTCCCATTTGCGCAGACCGATGCCCATGCTGTTGATCACTGGATGGTCTGGCCCAGACTCGATTATTTACAGACCGCCGCCATATAGCTGGAATATTGCTGAGTGCGGCGTAAAACTAAAGTCACTCATTACATTAACTGGTTTACGTTTACATTCCCTAGTTAACATTTACATTCCTTAGTTTACATTTACATTCCCTAGTTTACACTCCCAATTGTGTTGTTGTTTTTTATATATGTGTGGCGGGTCCTGGCCGAAGATAAATCGGACTGAGGCGTAGTTGTTTAACATCTGTTAATTCTGTAAAATATATGGACATTAGTTGAAGATGATGTATGGCCGACGGGTGTAACAACTCACCTGGCCGTGGCGTGACATGAAGTGTCAAATGTGAAGATGCCAACATCACGGAACAGGTAAAGCACGAGATGTCACGGAACAGGTAATGCACCAGATACTACTGGTATTACAACCAGAGAAAGAGTGGAGAAGAAGCGCTCGTAAATGAGCAGCGAGAAATGAAACAAGAGATACGCATTGTATTGAGAAATACATCCGGCGACTTATGTCAATCCGGATGTTTGTTTTGTTCTATCTTTCAAATGTTTAGAAACCATCTGTTAAACATTAATAAAAATCGATATACAATTGGAATTTCTGTGACATCATATATTGTGTTCCTGGGCGGTGGGGTAGCGCTAGTGAACTATAGGTGAAGCCCACTGATGGTGTTCCCCGTGTGATATTGCTGGAATATTGCTGTCAGTGACGAGACATCATACCCTCTCATTCATTCAATCGCTTTACCTATTCTGAGCAAAACCATGTCGGGATCATGAATAATTTTGGGAATATCTGCATGAAATCATGACTTTGCTTAAAAATAAATCCCAAAATATTGATGGTACGGCATACACCCTTTCTTGTTTATTAAGTTCAGTATATGTCCGAATGACGTCTGTTTTACCTAAGTGTCGGGTCATTGCTATGATTGTACACCTGTGAAGATCCGGGTTAGAATCGATCTTCAGTAACCAATTCTTGTCGTAAGAGGCGACTAAAGGGATCGGGTGGTCAGGCTCACTTACGCTTGATTGTCTGGTCCAGACTCGAATATTTACAGACCGGTGCCATATAGCTGGAATATTGCCCAGAGTGGTGATCAACAACAAACAAACTATGGTTGTAAAATCCTGCTCCGAAGAATTATTTTCGACAAATAATGTTAATGTTCAGCAGAATTCTCAATGACCAACAGTTACTGCTACAAATTGGTTTTGGTATATTAGCCATCATGATCTTTTACCATTTTTGATGCTGTCATCGCGCCTATGAATCTGCGATATACGGAACCAATTATTGTAACGTGAGAGTGGGGAAAAAGATTCAGTAAGTCATTTCTGTGAGTATAGCATCAATAAAATGACCCTTAAAGAGTGCCAAAGTCTTTATATACTCATGAACTGAGTACTGGTACAATCTGAATTAGCTACGATGGGTATATACATTGATTCTAAACTTTTCTTGAAAATGTTGAAATACAAGGGCATCTCATATAACAACTAATTTATTCAAATACGGTTTTGAATGTATATGGCAGGCTCACAGCTCATCATTTGTGGTGGTCTTCAAACGTAGATTTTATGACTGCTTCTCTCAATAATGGCATCACTCACCGATTCACAGTGTATTTCAATGTTATATTGTGCGAGCGAAGAGAAAATGTTATTTTCATTTGAGTTCGAATGTTACAAAGACGCTAATGTTTCACGACAATCGAGCCGGATATAGTGAGCGAAATGTACACATAATATGCCATTCACTCATTGTGGAGAGTTTATAGGCATTAATATTAAAGGGGCGGTTGGGTAGTCTAATGGTTAAAACGCCGCTCGTCACGTTGAAGACCCGGGTTCGATTCCCCACATGGGTACAATGTGTGAAGCCCATTTTTGGTGTTCCCCGCCGTGATATTGCTGGATTATTGCTCAAAGCGGCGTTAAACTAAACTCACTAGTA